GGGGGAGGAGGTGGGAATCCCCCTGGTGGGGGAGGTGGCAAAGGGTGCCCTATGGGGGGAGGAGGGGGCATGCCTGGAACCTGCCCAGGGGGTGGTGGTAATGTGAGTGGAATGGGAGGTGGCCCTGACGGTGGTGCTGACGAAGATGTTCCAAGGTTGAAGAAGTTTGTTTGAGTTTTGTCTTCTGTTGGGGGTGGGGGAAGAGCTGAAAAAAAAAAACCATGAACAGGAGTTAGGAAACATATAACCTACTCTTGTAACTTACATTAGACAAGTTTTCAGTCATTTTTAAATTTGTCCGTGACTAAAGAAATAACACAGTTGATTAGTGCCCTTAAATCTCAAGAAATGAAGCTGCATTTTATGCCCCATTTACATGGCAGAAAATTTTTGGTGCGGCTTGGATGAAAGTGGTACGCGTACCAAAAAAATAGTACTGATTACTCATTTACAAGTTCTTTTTTCTACCGTGCTAAATGATGTGAAATTATGATTTGGTACGGGTAAAAGGCTCAACGTCTCGGTCAGCATACTCGATTCTTGCCTAGTGCGCATGCTGCTTCCTCTGTAAAAACATGGCGGACGAAAAGTTCATTAGAATTCCCACAGCCGCATGTAGTCTACGCACAAGGAACAAATTGGTGGTCATTGAATACTGGTGCGGTTATTGAATTATTGTGTGGTTATTGAACACACTGAACTAACGAAAAAGTATTTACCATTTAGTTAATGCTACACATTTATATTAAAAAATTCTAATGTATTTGTGGCTATCTGCAAAGCAGGCGTATTTTGGGGCGGGATCCATGAATTGTTTTCAGGAGTGACGTTGTGCCGCCATCTTGGACGTTAATACTACCAGAGAGTTGGGACGAGTCAAAAAGTGTTTTTAAGGGAGAGGTAGATGGGTTTAAAATAGGGGGGGAGGGGAGGGGAGGAAAAAATACTTTAATATAATTTTCTCCTCTCTCCACCTGACCCCTCCCCCCTTCCACCACGCCTCCCCCTTAGTCTTTTTGGTTGCTTTTCAAGATGGCGGCCACGATCAATGTACCTCCGAGTTTTCGTTAAAAAATGCCTGCTCTGCAGGCTACAATGCCCTCAGAATTCTAAAAATAGTACCACCAATAACTTTTATAAGTGTTCTAAGCATAAATTCTGGAATGATCATCCTAGCAAGTTGAATACTTCAAACTTCATTGCAAGATGAGCACAAGACAAAGACAAAATTTGAATCATCCCTGTCAAATAAAAATATTAATATCAAAACTAACCTCCAGGTAATCCTGGCACTGGAGCCAGAGGGGTGCCTCCCTGTTTTCCTGGGGTGGGTTGCTGTCCCTGAGATTTGCCCCACATAATTTTAAGCCTTCTTCCTTTGAGAATCAGTTTGTTAAAGGAGCGCTCTGCTGCTGTTTCAGCTGCAGGTCGAGATGTAAAGCAGACAAAAGCACAGTTTTGTCTTGGTACCATTGTTATTGATCGCAGTTCACCAAATTGATAGAAATAGTCCCTGGAATACAGACGTCACAATGAGCACAAAATAATGGTTAAGGTTATTACCTTAGTTAAAACCCACCTTAGGACCACCAGAATATTATGACCACATTAATTTGAACCAAGCTTAAACAACAGTCTCAATCATTTTCTTTTCTGAAAACTTTATCACAATTTATTACAGCCATCTCATTTTTATGAACAAAATTTCATTGTCCAACAGTTGTTGCATTAACAGGGTTTGCTGTTATATTTAGGAAGAAAATATAAATGAAAGGATGTTTAATCAATGTTAGCTAGTAAATGTCATAATACGTTGCTGAGTTTTTACTGAGCTCAATATTCAATAAACTTTGTGTCTTAATTAACATTAGGCCGGGCCATTCATTTTGCCAAGATTGTACATAGTATCTTAAACAATCAAAAAGGAACAAAAAGGAAGAATATTAAAAAAACTTCTTGGATATACACTAAGGAGAAGCTCAGTACAAGCTCTGAAGCAACGTCAGATCAAACAGACTAACGACTGGCAGAACCCATTATTCTAGTTATTAAGAGAGAGTTCAGGGTAATTTGAAAACGCAAAAAACAGGCTAGCCTCTCTTCTGCAACCCTCCCCAATTAAAGCATTGGTCAAGTAAGCCAAACAAATTATTGGCAAACTTTCATGGAAGATTAATGGACAAGACTAGTTTATTATCTATGTTATCCAAGCAACTCAATACCTTTCGATTAACATTTTCTACAGGTATTAGTTTATGGGTTATGTATTAAAAACCCACCTTAAATCCCCCTCTTCCACCTTTCCTTCCAGTCCTCCAACATAAAGTGTGGTGATTGACTTGTCAGAGGGAGGTTCTAAAGATGGCATGCTAGAAGCCTGGCTTAGTAGTCGTGAAGCCACAGGATCACTGACTCCATAGTATCTGTCTTTTATGTTCTGATCTGCTAATGGGTCATTAGGATCTGTGGGCATGTCATGTCTGCAAGCAAATAACAGATGGTGGCCTAGTGTTTGTAGAGTACCTGTTGGTCAACTCCAATTAAGGACCTTACGGTGTTTCAGAAATTCAGAATAATTTATTTACAACAAACACATTAAAATTTAATTTAAAACATAATGTAAAAAATCAATGATAATAAATTTAATGAATAAATATGACAAAAAGCTATTAAAAATGAATTAAACAATAAGTTAATGGAATGTAATACATAAAGTAACTAACTCTAAAATAGTAAAAGAGAGCAGAGCTAAATTCCTCTACCTTCTCATAAGCTGACAACAACTTCACTGGAGGTCAAAAGTGTTGGGAACTTCCCAGTGATATTAGTAAAACTGGCAACCTGCCCGCCACCCCTAACAATGTTGAATTTGGGGGAAATGGGTGTTTGGGATTCCCAACACTGTTAGGGGGAGTGGGGAGATAAAGGGATGAACCCAAAGCCTATCCAAAAATTGTCATCAGAAGCAGAATCCTATGTAACAGGAAGGTTTTTTCTAGTCTGTTCACCGTCCCCTATTTTTTCGTGAGATCGTTTAGATATACCGTGTCTTACCGTCACGGTTAACTTGATTTTCAAATGTACCAAGGGGGCCGGTGTCGGGGGAGGGGGGTTGTGGGGCCGAGATAAACAGAGGGACTGTAATAACATCACTGCAGCTCGCGTTCACGGAGCACGTTGTACCAGCAATGCAGGCGTTTGATTGGTCATTAGACAATAGATGTTAATTTGCATTGACAACGGGTTTAGTTTCAGTTGCCGACATTGACAAGTCGTTGACAAGTCGATGTTTCCATTGAACGTACGCTTTCATACCATAAGGCACATCTTGCACAAACACATGGAGGATTTTTGGTATTTTGATTAGGAAAATGTCTTCTTGTGCATGTTTGCCGATTTTATTTCGAGGAATGGCCCAGAAACATTATAAAATCACTGTTGCTAAATGTGTCTGGCATGTTTTTAATCACCAGCGGAGTTTCTTAATTAATGAATGGTAAAAGGCGTGAAATTCCTGTCACACCTCCTGAACGTGAGCTGCAGTGATGTTATTACAGTCCCTCTATTTTTCTCACTTCCTCCCAAACCGTCCCCCCCCCCTCACTAAGTAGTTTTGACACTCATGCAATGGCAGCCCGTAACGCAAAGCTCTCAATCTCGATGATCTTAAGGAAAAATAGAGGACTGTGAACAGTCTAGGTTTTTTCACTCTGTACCTATATTCTTTTGAACTCCACTGTTGCTGTAAACATGGTTCGTACAACTTCAGAAAAACAAATTTCAAGGACTTTTCAAGGATTTTTCAAGGACAAATTACAGTTTTTAAGGACTAAGATTTATCTAATAAATCGGCATTCTTTAACCCCCTTTGATTACCCTATTGGCTAAAGCACGTCATGGAGTCATTTACAATTTTTACTTTGGCCACTGTTGATCACATTATTTTATACTACTTTCCACAACAAGACTTTGCAAAATGACTGGGTATGACTTGCAATTTATTGCATCTGAGGTAGCTTGATGTATAGAAGTAGCATTTCAAATAAAGAAACAAAAATAAAGTATTGTTCATGCACAAAATGTTTTTACGTTACCCGGTTCTTGCATCGAGGATGAGCCAAAATTTTTCTCAGCAAAATAATCTAACTTTACTGAAAAGGGTGTCTGGCGTAGATAAGGTTGTGAATTTCAAGGACTTTTCAAGACCTAATAAAGAAATCAAGTACTTTTTAAGGACCTAAACCGAATTCAAGGACTTTTAATGACGACTAGTAAAATTCAAGACCTTTTCAAGATTGTACGAACCATGTGTAAATCTGAAAACATCCAAAAACACACTATACCATACCTGTAAGGGCATTCATCCCCTCGCTTGCACTCTCCCTTCACCCAAAAAGAACAGATATGTGGTCTGTTCCTTTTGTAGTAGGGGGTGGTCCTGGCAAGTTTAAGTAACAAGTCACTTGGAGCATTGGCTTTTCCAAGTGTTCCACCAGGTGTTGTCCCATCTGAGTTGGCCAACTGTGGTACAAAATGCAAAGTTTAGTTCTAAAGTTGTACACAGTTGGTTAGGCTGAGAAAACAGCCGACATTGCAACACCATCAATGGTTTCCCAATATATGGAATAAGCGCAGGAATTCCATACTAATGAGGTCTCACTAACCAGATCTGGAAAGTACAATGAACTTCAGAATGGTTGTGCAGAAGCAGTACTTAAATCTGGGAAGTGAAACATCATCAGTATGTAATTTCTGCACTTGTTCCTCACACGTCATTTTGCAGGGAAACTTGCGGCGGCATCATGAAATGGTGGCTACTTTTTCAGACTACTTCACAGTGGACCCAACTTTTCACAGAGTGGACACATGTACATCACTGTTTATTGGATAAATCTCTATCAATTGGACAATCAGGGTCACAACCCTAAAACAGCAACCAGACTTGTAGCACAAAATCCTGGAGATTTCACAGAATCAAAACAAAATGAAATTTACTGATGTCCATGATCTTAATAATGTCTTTAAAAAGAGGAAGAGGTGCTAAATACTCAAAATTTTGGATTGGTCAAAAAGGAAAAGCGGCAGAAAAGAGGTAACTTTGTAGGGTGATTATTAAACTATGACCATGATTTATTTGGTAGACACTGAGGTGCAACTCTGAACATCATGCCTATAGAAAGCTGTTGCTTTACTCATTGATTTAGCACTTTCAAGCGATCACAGGAGCTAATAAGTATGTACCATAAGTCCTCTATTAGTCGTTAATAAGCCCTACTTTTTCAGGAGAAGTTAAGCTCTTATTTTCCACAACCAAATAAATAAATGACTGACTTCATAAACACAACATTCTAGGTCTTTATGGATAACTGATACCGCCTTCTGGTCATTTGAAAGCAGCATGATCGCAAACTTTCAAACAATCCTCCTTCAAACCTGTTTCAGATAGATAAGCCCCCCAAGGGGCTTAATAGTGGATTTATGCTACCAAAAGAAGAGCATTTTCTGAATAATGGCAAATTTCTGTATTATTTTTTGTTGATATGCTAACCAAGAGGATCACCTATGGTTATTCCAGGCAGCCAGTGCTTTATTTTCAATATTTTCACTCTTAAATTTTCTTATAAGGCAAGAGAGAGTACAAATGAAGATTAGTGTTTTTGTTGTTGAAAACACAAACCTCTTTTTCCACATTCTGAGTATAGTATTCTTTGTTAACATCAGATTTTGGAACATCATCTTTCATGCCAAGGGCATGATCTCGCACTTGAACAGGCAAACCTTGAAATGAAAAAAAAATCATATTAAGCTAAGAGGATATCAATCTTTTAAAAATCTTGAAGAAAAACCATGCAAATTTCATGTCAGACCCCACAACTCCCAGCCACAATAATTTATTCTGAAGTGCAAACAACAAACAACAAACAACAAGGTATTTATCAACAAACGAACAAACGGCAAAGTTTTACAGTCTGCTGTACGTCCCGTAAATGGCTATCATGCTAATCCAGGTGGGACAAAACATTAGACAAAACGTGATATTAAAGAAAATTACATGTTACAAAAAGAAAGAAATACAATAACATACAGAAAGAAACCAAACCATGTGTTTCCTAAGAGGTCAGCTAAGATGTTTGACAAAACAGAAAAAGTCAAAATTCCTTCAACTTTAGGAAAACACACAGCGTGATACAATGCATTTTGCTGTAAAAAAGTAATTTTGAATTTTCTTTATACTATTGACCTAAGACACCCTTAAAACATAGTTGTATATTGAAAACCTCAGGTAACACACAGCAAAAACATGGTTTCTTTTCACAAACTGTGTAGGTTCCATTCTCGGCATTCAAACTTACCATATTCAAGATCCAGCAGACAGGTCTGGCAAACATTCTTTAATTTTGAACAAGTCTGGCAAATTTCTGTTTTCTTAAATCTCATACGTGCACCAGGACACCAACGAAACACTGTGAATGGTCGTACACAGATCTAAATGAAAGTTAAAAAAAAAAATTATAATAATAGTTTGTAGTTTCATCATTACATTTATTGATGACAAAAAACTGCACCATAACCAAATAACTGGCAGTAAAAATTGACAGTCCAAATTATCATCGGAAATGTTTGTAAATTGTAAACAAAGTTCCCACTTAGTGATGGTTTTAATTTACAAAATGTTCCTTTTTTTCCGTTTTATCACACTGATTTGGTAAATACTAAAACAACTATCCCCCACAGGGTCGGTGAAAACGCTAGATATATACCTTGACGTTTCACGTCTTGGTATATATACCCACCACTATTCACCTCCCCTCGCGGGATAATTATTAACATATTGCTTAAGAACCTTACCTTACATTCTCTCCCATATGTCTCCTTTGTCTGTTGAGGAGATAATACAAACAGAATAACCAGTAAGTCTTTTACTAACTGAATTTTAAAGGCCTCTGTTTTAATAATGTTTTGATACAATTTTGATTTTAACCTGTGATATTGTGTTTTCACAAGATTAAGCAATTGCCGGTTTTATAAAGCTTGTGTGAATTCCAATGTCTAACCCAAACCCTACTGTATTTGCCACGCCCACCCACAGCCAGCCTCCTTGTATGACCCACCTATCAAACATTTGAATAGTTACTGCTAGATATAGATCTACTTTACAATAGCATGATGATTGTCGCCATAATATTATTACAATAATCATGCTGGTAAATAGTGATGACACATTAAACGTTGAAAACTTATGAGACTAATAAATTAATAATATTTGAACTTTATTGAGTATAGTAGTCACCCCATTACAAATCCAAATAATGACCCACTCCCAACTGACCTAATAGCTCAGTTTCTTAGCATACTGCACCGATACAGTAAAAAACAAAAACAAATAAGTAAGAACCTACATTTTCCAGGGTTAGCCCAAACAGGTAAATTGCACATTTTAGCCCAACAGGTTCTTAAATCTTAGGTTCTTACTCGTGGGTTTTTACTGTACTGCAGGGTCATGTGTTCAAAACTTGTTAAAGTCTGAATTTTTTTCAGGCTTCATGATTACTTTAGTTGTGTATATATCTGCAATATTTTATTATCTTGTAGATACATACACACTGAGAACTCTAGAAAAATAAATTCTAACCAGTTCAGAAAATACATACATGCATATGTAGATACATACATTAGAGGTAAACTTTATTCACTTATTCACTAGAAGCTAAAAAAAGATAAAGATTACCATTCTGACGTAAGGGTTGTCTCCAAGGCATGTTTGACAAAGAATGGGAAATTCCTGGAATGAGAACAATAGAAAAAAACATTTTTTTTAAATTAGTAGTAAGATAAAAAGGAAACTGAACAAACAAAAAGGAATGTTAGTGTAATGCTCACTGTTATGATCTTTTACAGATTATCCCAATAATTATGCAGCTCTGCTTCCATGAGTTTTAGTTCCAGTTTAGATTTCATGTTGATGTGAATGTTAGAGTTAATTTTTTATCTCTGGTAATTATTGTTTTTCTTTTGTTTTTGTAGAACATGATATGTTTTTTGCATCAAATGGAAACTGGGAAAAAAATCCGAGCCCCCGATGGGATTAGAACCAACGACCCTCCATGATCTAGTCGGATGCTCACTCCTTGGAGAGCAAGGGTGAAATGCGGGTCTTTGATTAGAACTGCATCACGCAGTCACATAGTCAAACTATGACAAGCATGTATGACTCATAACGACATCGTGCAGTCACATTACAGCATTTCGTAGATGCAACCATCCAAGCACCAAGTAAGTCTTTTGTAGAAATACAACAAGATAAGTTTTTTGCATCAAATTTTTGGGTATGGTAATGTATGCTGATGAAGTTGAAACAAAGGAAAAATAACAATTACCTGAGATAAAAAGTTAACAACAACATGCACGTGATTTACAGTTCTGACAACACAGTGGGATCCTGATTTTCTAAAAACTCAATTTTTCTTAACTCCTGATTTTTCAAAAATCAAGAGACTTTTCACTTGATTTTGCTTCAATCAGGAACAATAATATTAACCCCGATTTTTTGTCTGGTAGATGACAAAGGAAATTGAGAATCAACCAAGGTTAAGAAATTTTAAACTGGATATAATTTGACATGTAACACATATGTTGACATGCAAGAGCACTTTACCGCTGTTGTCTATAGCTTCATAAAATAATGCCATGGTAATTGAAATCCTCCTTTTTCTAACAAATTTCCATTTCTCTAAGAGGTTCAAAACTGGGTCGAATTCTACTGTAACTAAGACCACATGTGGTAAAAGTGAGTGGAGTTATGCATGCTTCTCCAGTTGTGATTTGTTAAAGCAAGTATTAGAGCTTATCTGTCATAACGTCAACACTATATTAACACTTTCACTCTCAAAAAGACCACACTTTTTTTACTCTTCAATACCAAACAAGACTGGGAGATGATCTGTCAGTCTAACTTTTTAATCTGTGGAAAAATAGTCTAGTCTAGCATCACCACTGAAATAAAACTTAAGTGGGAGAACTTTTACACAGCACTATTGAGCATTTATTTCTTTGATCTGAAACAAGGGCAGCCGCTTCCCCTTCATCATTTTTAAAAACCTGACTGTTAATCAGGTAGGAAATGCAGCCATTAATCTAACCAGTCAACAATATTTAGAAAAATAATGCAGCATTCCTAATAGACCACCAGCCCTACCACAAGCATAAGGTTTAAGAGACAGGCTGTACAAAATAACCTGTAATATAAAGCGGGCTAAATGAAGAGTACATATTTATACTTAAAAGACACATGTAACCAGTAAAGTCACCCAAAGGTTTTCTCAGAGCCATATCACCCAAATGCCAAAAACAAACAAAGCTGTAAAGAAAACAGTTGAAATAGGAATGCAGAAGTGCAGTGACTAAGAAACCTTGCATGGCTCCAAATAAACTTTAGGAAACTTAAATCTCGGGCAGCTTGACTGTAACTTTGTTTGGTACAGCTGTTTGGAGGCAGCGTGGTTGAGTGGTTATAGTGCTCCTAGTTCAATTCCCACCTTCACCTCTCGCTGGATTTGTTCTCGGAAGTCCCTAGTTTAAATCCTCAACCACCTTTGCAAAAAACCAACTGATTTACCTTCGGCCAGTTGGTATTCTTAACCCTATTCGAAAGACTGATTTACACGCTAACAAAGCCAACCGCACAAGTACAACTGCACTCACTCAGCTAGCAGACACTCTATAATGTAAGAACTCAAGTAAACTGAATAAATGTAAATTGTAAGAATCTGTGCATAAAATTTTACACCCAAATTTTCCTAATTTGCGTGTATGTTTTTACACAAGTGTTTTGTGTGTGTTTTTTCCATGGAATTTGCATGCAATATGGCAGATTTCCATGCATGAAACAGTGTGTAGAGCTGCAATGCACGTGGCCTGTACTGTAAGTTTCATTTGAAATATTTGTTTATTATTATTTGGCCCCACTAGCATCAGTGCTATAAATACTGCCAAGGGTAAAGCAAGGATATTATTATTATTATAATCATAACTATAACAAAATTGTCAAATCTGATTGGCTCTCAACTGCCCTGATTTCAGCCTTAATTGGACAGTTTAAAAGGACAGTACGCGTCATGCCTAAGTAATTGGACAGTACGCGCCATCACGCGTGCGCTTAAGTGGCTTTTTTTTTCACTGCTAGCAAAACAAAATTTCGAATTTCTTGTGTTTTGGTTTAAAAAATAGCCTATTGTATCACAAATTTTGTTAAAGTTATGATTAATTGGTAACAGAACTTCGTGTCGTCCAATTCAGTCTGTAATCATACTCGTGATTAAACAAATCGGACTCCCACTACGCGGTCGTCCGATTTTGTTAATCACTCGTATGATTACAGACCGAATTGGACTCCACTCAGTCCTGTTACCATTACTTATCATGCGCCAAACTAGATAGAAACATTACAAGTGTTTCTTTAGAAAGACAACTTAAAATGTACGTTAAATACTTAGGTAAACTGATGCAGCAATTTACTTAATCTTACTAATGCAGCAAAAATGACATCGAGAGTTGACGTGATTCGTCAAAAGCCAAGCCTTCTTAGTGTTCCAGGCGTTCAGATAGTGAGCGTGGGTAAATAAATGCGAGCGAAAACGCCTGTCCTGGAACTGGCTACAGAAATTTTAAGTGGCCTTCATGAAAAAGATGAGCAGTCTAATCTGTTTGCCGTTAGTACAGTCCCGTCTCCTCACTCTTAAAATAACAGCTCTGTTACTCAGAATATGGGCAAGTTCATAACGGGGTTAACGGTTTGCAAGAAAAGTTTACGGTAGATGTAGATGTATATGTAGATAGTGTCGTCTCATGCAAAAGCTTTAAGCTTTCTGTGCACGCGAACAATGTGTCCATACGAAAATTGATCCACACCAAAAGGAATCATTTGGATTTAACATGACACATATAAAGAGTGATGGCAAAGTATATGTATCATCAGATTGAGAGGTACAAACAATGCATTTTCTTACCGCATTTTCCCAGTTTTGTCGATTGTAAGTGTTCGCGCTTTTTGAAGTCGCCATGTTGAAATCATCTCAGCCTCGCTATCAAAATCGTCCGGCAGCATTGTGGGCTCAAGGTGTCGCATTCTCGCAGGCCAGAAACTGGATGGCGCTACCCACCGGGATGAAGGATAAGTGTTAGGGAAACCAATTGCGCTATCCAATGGATAGTGATTTATCCGGTGAATAGCGTTATCTTTATCTACCTTTTGAACAACTAGGGCCTGGTGTTCTTGAGTATGGACTGAAGGCCTCTTCACATGAGCCGGGTTGACCGGGCTAGTCCGGTTTCCAGATCTCACCTACCTATAAATCCTTTGTAAAATTTTCGATGTGTTCAGCTGGCTCGGTTCCCGAGATCTCGGTTTTTCCAACCGAGATCTCGGTAAGCGGGATGCACTATCCCTGTTACCGGTATGAATTCTGGCGGTGACTTCTCAAAAATACCATGCGAAACCACAAACAAACTTTTCATTCACTGTTTCTTATATTTAATTCTATTGGCCTTAGAACGTCTGAGAATCGGACCAGGCTAGGTGTTCTGAGCTAATTCCAACAGCGAAACAGTCCGTATTTTTGCAAAACCGATTTTGAGAAAAAAAACCCGACTGTTTTGCAGTCTGTAAGGACGAGAAGAGATAAAATTGTGAAAGCAAGAACAGTGAACAGTAAGGGTCACAACTGAAGCTGAACCACTAGGAGGTTATGGACTCCAACTCCGATCTTGGAAGCACCAGACTCCAGAGAGACGCTGGTAATAAGGTGAGGATTCCACTTGGAGAGGAACTATGGTGACAAAACATGTTTCGAAATCTCGAAAACGAGACAAAAATAGGTTTTACTGAACAGCTTGTCTAGCCGGTTTATTAGCAACCAGAAACCTCTTGAGGTTTCGACAAAACGCAACTTTTCAAACTACAAAATTCCGGATTTTCTGGTGTCCAGGTGTCATGCGTTTTCTTTTCTTTTTTTTTGCAGTTGTTCGTCGGGACAAAAATTTGGTTTGTCGCCCCAGTCAAAACGCTGCGACAAGTTTTCACACTGGATTCTTCTTTGTCAAAGCATATAATTTTATTAGAAACTTAACTCCAAGTAAATGATACTATTTACATTTTTAGATCAAAACTCGCTGATATCAATATTTGTCCAGAGACTTCACCCCCTCCCTCCCCCCCCCCGCCCCACTGTGCAAGCTGGCTGTTTCCAATACTTGATGCCTGAGCCTAATCCCTGATCTACCGTAGTTTTTGGCACCGCATTTCGACTGGGATGTTCAAAGTTTTATAGGGGTAGCTGAAAAAGTTCTGTTGTAGGCTGTCCAAAACTAAGTTCGGCACGCAGTTTAACAGCGTCAATTTATTTTTTCTTTTGCTTACACTTTGCAAAACCCCAGCACAATCCTATTTTGAACTCAACAGTATTTGTTTCCTGACCTTTCTATATTAAAGTGAGGTGAATTTAAATCATGTGAACCTAAACCGTATCCTTCATAATCCCAGAAAATTGTTCTTTACCGTTTTAGACCTCTTCGGGCTCATAAAGCGAAAAATCGCACAATACCAACGTGAACAAAGGTAGAGATTTTGGGGCACGAGCCGACTGGGAAATTACGCAAGTGAAGTTATTTTTTATTCAGTAAATTTACTAGAAGGGTAACGCAATCGTTCGGTGCAATGTTGATTTCGCAATTAAAATTACGTTAAAATTTCCTAAATAAATCGTTCAACCCCACGTCAAAGGCTTTATCAGACCAAATTATTCAATAATTTTTTGTTTGTTTATGGAAAAAATGAAGTAAAAAGTAAAAAGGACTCTTTAAAACATGGGTAAAGAGTTTTTAATCTTGGAACAGTGTTCCCAGGTGTAAAACCTGACTGTTAATCAGGTAGGAAATGCAGCCATTAATCTAACCAGTCAACAATATTTAGAAAAATAATGCAGCATTCCTAATAGACCACCAGCCCTACCACAAGCATAAGGTTTAAGAGACAGGCTGCACAAAATAACCGGTAATATAAAGTGGGCTAAATGAACAGTACATATTTATACTTATTTTTTTAAAAGACACATGTAACCAGTAAAGCCACCCAAAGGTCATCTTTCTCAGAGCCATATCACCCAAATGGCAAAAACAAACAAAGCTGTAAAGAAAACATTTGCAAAAGGAATGCAGAAGTGCAGTGACTAAGAAACCTTGCATGGCTCCAAATAAACTTTAGGAAACTTAAATCTCGCGCGGCTTGACTGCAACTTTGTTTGGTACAGCTGTTTGGAGGCAGCGTGGTTGAGTGGTTATAGCGCTCCTAGTTCAATTCCCACCTTGACCTCTCGCTGGATTTGTTCTCGGAAGTCCCTAGTTCAAATCCTCAACCACCTTTGCAAAAAAACAACTGATTTACCTTCGGCCAGTTGGTATTCCTTAACCCTATTCGAAAGGCTGATTTACATGCTAACAAAGCCAACCGCATAAGTACAACTGCACTCACTCAGCTAGCAGACACTCTATAATGTAAGAACTCAAGTAAACTGAATAAATGTAAATTGTAAGAATCTGTGCATAAAATTTTACACCCAAATTTTCCTAATTTGCCTGTATTTTTTTACACAAGTGTTTTGTGTGTGTTTTTTCCATGGAATTTGCATGCAATATGGCGGATTTCCAACCATGAAACAGTGTGTAGAGCTGCATTGCATGTGGCCTGTACTGTAAGTTTCATTTGAAATATTTGTTTCAGGGATTTGCTTGGCCCCACTAGCATCAGTGCTATAAATACTGCCAAGGGTAAAGCAAGGATATTATTATTATTATAATCACAACTATAACAAAATTGTCAAATCTGATTGGCTATCAACTGCCCTGATTTCAGCCTTAATTGGACAGTTTAATAGGACAGTACGCATCATGCCTAAGTAATAATGGACAGTACGCCCCATCACGAGCGCGCTTAAATGGCTTTTTTTTTCACTGTTAGCAAAACAAAATTTTTTGAATTTCTTGTGTTTTGATTTAAAAAATAGCCTATTGTATCACAAATTTTGTTAAAGTTATGATTAACTGGTAACAGAACTTCGTGTCGTCCAATTCGGTCTGTAATCATGCTCGTGATTAAACAAATCAAACTCCCGCTATGTGGTCGTCCGATTTTGTTAATCACTCGTATGATTACAGACCGAATTGGACTCCACTCAGTCCTGTTACCATTACTTATCATGCGCCAAACTAGATAGAAACATTACAAGTGTTTCTTTAGAAAGACAACTTAAAATGTACGTTAAATACTTAGGTAAACTGATGCAGCAATTTACTTAATCTTACTAATGCAGCAAAAATGACATCGAGAGTTGACGTGATTCGTCAAAAGCCAAGCCTTCTTAGTGTTCCAGGCGTTCAGATAGTGAGCGTGGGTAAATAAATGCGAGCGAAAACGCCTGTCCTGGAACTGGCTACAGAAATTTTAAGTGGCCTTCATGAAAAAGATGAGCAGTCTAATCTGTTTGCCGTTAGTACAGTCCCGTCTCCTCACTCTTAAAATAACAGCTCTGTTACTCAGAATATGGGCAAGTTCATAACGGGGTTAACGGTTTGCAAGAAAAGTTTACGGTAGATGTAGATGTATATGTAGATAGTGTCGTCTCATGCAAAAGCTTTAAGCTTTCTGTGCACGCGAACAATGTGTCCATACGAAAATTGATCCACACCAAAAGGAATCATTTGGATTTAACATGACACATATAAAGAGTGATGGCAAAGTATATGTATCATCAGATTGAGAGGTACAAACAATGCATTTTCTTACCGCATTTTCCCAGTTTTGTCGATTGTAAGTGTTCGCGCTCTTCGAAGTCGCCATGTTGAAATCATCTCAGCCTCGCTATCAAAATCGTCCGGCAGCATTGTGGGCTCAAGGTGTCGCATTCTCGCAGGCCAGAAAGATGGATAGTGCTACCCACCGGGATAAAGGATAAGTGTTAGGGAAACCAATTGCGCTATCCAATGGATAGTGATTTATCCGGTGGATAGCGTTATCTACCTTTTGAACAACTGGGGCCTGGTGTTCTTGAGTATGTACTGAAGGCCTCTTCACATGAGCCGGGTTGACCGGGCTAGTCCGGTTTCCAGATCTCACCTACCTATAAATCCTGTGTAAAAATTTTCGATCTGTTCAGCTGGCTCGGTTCCGGATGCACCATCCCTGTTACCGGTATGAATTCTGGCGGTGACTTCTCAAAAATACCATGCGAAACCACAAATAAACTTTTCAATTCACTGTTTCTTATATTTAATTCTATTGGCCTTAGAACGTCTGAGAATCGGACCAGGCTAGGTGTTCTGAGCTAATTCCAAATCTTCAAGGACGTACGCATGGACAGCGAGACAGTCTGTATTTTTGCAAAACCGATTTTGAGAAAAAACCCGACTGTTTTGCAGTTTGTAAGGACGAGAAGTGAGAGAAGAGATAAAATGAAGGCAAGAACAGTGAACAGTAAGGGTCACAACTGACGCTGAACCACTAGGAGGTTATGGACTCCAACTCCGATCTTGGAAGCACCAGACTCCAGAGAGACCCTGGTAATAAGGTGAGGATTCCACTTGGAGAGGAACTATGGTGACAGAACATGTTTCGAAATCTCGAAAACGAGACAAAAATAGGTTTTACTGAACAGCTTGTCTAGCCGGTTTATTAGCAACCAGAAACCTCTTGAGGTTTCGACAAAACGCAACTTTTCAAACTACAAAATTCCGGATTTTCTGGTGTCCAGGTGTCATGTGGTTTTCTTTTCTCTTTTTTTGCAGTTGTTCGTCGGGACAAAAATTTGGTTTGTCGCCCCAGTCAAAACGCTGCGACAAGTTTTCACACTGGATTCTTCTTTGTGAAAGCATATGTTAGAAACCTAACTCCAAGTAAATGATACTATTTATATTTTTAGATCAAAACTCGCTGATATCAATATTTGTCCAGAGACTGCACACCCCCCCCCCCCCGCCCCACTGTGCAAGCTGGCTCTTTCCAATACTTGATGCCTGAGCCTAATCCCTGATCTACCATAGTTTTTGGCACCGCATTTCGACTGGGATCTTCAAAGTTTTGTAGGGGTAGCTGAAAAAGTTCTGTTGTAGGCTGTCCAAAACTAAGTTCGGCATTTTTAACAGCGTCAATTTATTTTCTCCTTTGCTTACACTTTGCAAAACCCCAGCACAATCCTATTTTGAACTCAACAGTATTTGTTTCCTGACCTTTCTATAAAGTGAGGTGAATTTAAATCATGTGAACCTTAACCGTATCCTTCACAATCCTAGAAAATTGTTCTTTACCGTTTTAGACTTCTTCGGGGTCATAAAGCGAAAAATCGCGCGATACCAACATGAACAAAGGTAGAGATTTTGGGGCACGAGCCGATTGGGAAATTACGCAAGTGAAGTTATTTTCATTCAGTAAATTTACTAGAAGCGTAACGCAATCGCTCGGTGCAATGTTGATTTCGCAATTAAAATTACGTTAAAATTTCCTAAATAAATCGTTCAACCCCACGTCAAAGGCTTTATCAGACCAAATTATTCAATAATTTTTTGTTTGTTTATGGAAAAAATGAAGTAAAAAGTAAAAAGGACTCTTTAAAACATGGGTAAAGAGTTTTTAATCTTGGAACAGTGTTCCCAGGTGTAAATTCTTATTGTCATGTTGCGTCGCTTGCACGTGCACGAGTGACCAAAGGTGGAAAGGATCTTTCATCAGAGTAAATTTGTCCAATGAAACAGCTAGTTCCAGTGTTGTCCGAGCTGAGTGGCTACTAAGGGCATCGCTACAAGAAAGCGCTCGGAACGGATATGAGTCACAGTTTTTACGACGTAGACTTTAGCGAAGAACTTAGTGGTCCTTCAGCCAAAAGATTCAAAATGAACAACCCTGACACACAAAATAATACTTTCCTTTTCACTTCCGAGTCCGTTGGTGAGGGACATCCAGGTAAATTTCATTGTGGTGCTTGAATTTTTAATTGATTTATCGCGCCACGTTGGGAATTGTACAGAATTGCACTGTTTGGTGATTTCCGTCCGACTCAAATGCCTTACTAACTGTTGTTGTCTGTTATTCACAGATAAAATTTGCGATCAGGTCTCTGACGCTATTCTGGACGCCCATCTTAAGCAAGATCCCGATGCTAAAGTTGCGTGCGGTAAGGGCTTTAAATTGGAGGTTTCGCTCGATGCATGCTTATGAAGTAAAGGCGTTGTTGTGACTCGTCTAAGTTGAAAACTCAGTTTAAGTGTTCCATAACTATTTAACGGGTCACAGAAAAAGAAAAAATAAAGTTGAGGGTGTCCCTTTGCCGATATAAAACTTGTCACTCCAGCAACATTAAAATGCGCTACCGAATTCCGTATCGGTGTACTTGAAGAGTGCTTGGATAGTTTGTTGTCGACGTCGAGTTTTCTGCCATGACAAAAGGCTTTAAATTGGGGGCGAAAAATTTATTCTCTGTATTTTTAAAGTTTTATGATCCTATTTTCTGGCAGGTTTGGGACAAATTTTTATTGTTGATGTACGTCATTTTTTGAGAGTTCTTGGTATAGCACTGCTCCGCGGTCGTTGAGGACAGACCATGAGCGTAATTTCCCGGGGTCGTGTGAAATTGCGTAATGCCATGTTTAATATTCATGTGACAATAGGGTAATAGGGTGTTTGGTTTTCTCGTTTTAACTGTTCTGCGCCGTTTTTTGTGTGTTTCTTAAGCCTAGCAAAAACTTGTCGCATGAACGAGCGATCTATTTTTCCTCGTAAAGCGGTATTATCCTTGTTTTGTCCCGAAGTGGTCGTGTTTTGATGCCGCCAAACCGGTTATACGCATCAATAGTAAACAAGGCCCACGTTTCGTATGTCACGTTCTGACCATTGTTGTTTCTGCCTTAAAATACTGTCCGCTTACATTAAAACATTGTTATTCGCAGTCTGCAAATTAAACTTTTTTGAATAATATATCTTGTTCCAACTGTTATAAACTCAATGGAACACAAATACCCTAAGCTTGTTCCCACAAATTTCTCTATTTTTTAAGACCGGTTTCTATCAACTGGAAAAGGAATCCTGTCAGTCTAGTCGACAGAAATAAATAGAAAACACATCATGTGAAGAAACTGATTTTTTCGCTAAGTATTTTAAAGCGTGGCTTTAAAGTCTACCAATGCAGCACGTAAGATGTTGTTTCATGCCTTTAAAAAACGAATTTGAAGAAAAACTCTGGCACCACCTTTTAAATAATTTTATTACATCTAACTTCTCAGAAAAAGGAGATCTTGATTTAATATGCGAGATGTCGAGAGATCAACAAGAACAAACTAGCTATTCAAGTTTGATTAAATTTCGTATACTAATTTGACAACATTTTATTTTGTAGAAACCGTTTCCAAGACAGGCATGATTCTTGTTTGTGGTGAAATCACATCTAAAGCCGTAGTTGACTACCAGACTGTTATCCGTGATACCATAAAGAAGATTGGTTATGATGACTCTAACAAAGGTAGGCATGCCATTGATTTTATGAAGAAGCAACACGAGTAGGTCCTGCTTTTTTGACCCCTTGACCTTCCGAATTAGATGTGATGTAATTTCTGAAATGCATTTTGCTTAAATTTTTCTTAACTTTGAATAATTAACAACAAATGCTAAGAACTGTGGCTATCCTTCTCTTACAAAATATTGGCCTGATCATTTACTTTGAAAGATATTTTAAGGATATCAAAATGGTCCTAGTGAATTAAATTGTCAAACAATAGTTCAGCAATAACTAGTATATACATATATTTTCAAATGTAAGTTACATCTCATAAAAGGTTATTTTCTTAGGGTGAATTTTTGTCTATATTTTAGAAGTAGAATCATTGATAGTGTTGTTTGTTCAGGGTTTGACTACAAGACCTGCAATGTGTTAGTTGCCCTTGAACAGCAGAGTCCTGACATTGCCATGGGAGTTCACACTGGAAGAAATGAAGAAGACATAGGGGCTGGTGACCAGGGACTTATGTTTGGTTATGCCACTGATGAAACGGAAGAGCTTATGCCCCTTACGGTTGTGTTAGCTCATAATCTCAACAAGAAACTTGCAGAGAATAGGCGCAATGGAACAATGTCATGGGTGCGACCTGACTCAAAGACCCAAGTTACGGTGGAGTATAAGTCTGAGAATGGAGCTGCTGTTCCCATCAGAGTTCACACCATTGTTATTTCGGTTCAGCATGAGCCCAATATCACCTTGGATCAAATGAGGAAACAACTGTATGAGAAAGTCATCAAGGTAATAATATTTTTCACCTCTTCTTAAGTCATGGCAGGAATGCTTTTTTCTATCAGTTACAGTAAAGTTTCGTTACTTTCAGTTTAGCACCCTTCTGCTATCATGTTTTGGGGGGGAATCATTACTTTTGGATGGCTAAAATATGTACTCCACATGGGCACTTCAGAAAATATAATCGCAAAAAAAAATGTGAAAGGAATAGTATTTGAAGAAAGGTTTTGTATATCGTGTACTTTAAAAGTTGTGAATAGGAATTTTGAATAATCATTATTAATAAACCTCAGATCGGTGTGGCAGTTGTTCAGGGTATCTACCACGTCTGTTATTTTTGTGTAAGGGTAAAGAAGTTTTGAGGTCTCTACTTTCAGGATTTGCCAACACCTGTGACATTTGATCACTTCTTTCAAGGGTTATTACTTTCAGAACTTAACGGTATATGACCTGCCAAAATCAGTAATTCATTGCCATAACTATTGAACAAAGTGTATGAAGGAATTGAACTAGCTTCTTTTTCATTACAAACATCTATCATGTGTTTAAATGTAGTCTTTCATTTTACAATGTTTTAACAATGGCAAAAAACTTGTTAAAAAAATTAAATAAGAGTTTAATGTTTAAGAAGTAGCGATGCTAGATGACCTGAGTAATGATTTGTTTCATGTGTCTTGCAAATTTTACAGACTGTTGTCCCTGCCAAGTACCTTGATGATGATACAATCTACCATCTTCAACCTTCCGGTGCCTTTGTGATCGGAGGTCCCCAAGGAGATGCTGGTTTGACTGGAAGGAAGATCATTGTTGATACCTATGGCGGATGGGGTGCTCATGGTGGAGGTGCCTTCTCTGGAAAGGATTTCTCAAAGGTTGGTTTTAGTACCGCCATAGGATAACTGTAATTGGTTTATCACCCCTTACGGTCAAGGTTCAATTAATACTGACAATCTAACAAAATTAAAAAACTAGCGGTTGGATAACTTACAAAGACATGGCGTATAGGATAGGATCATGGTATTATGGAAGTTAAAACTATGTTGTTTAAATTAAATCTTCAACTGTAAGTAAATATTGAGGAGCTTCATATTCTAAGATGAATGCCACCCCTCAACCACTGTTTGTTTGTTTTTGTTGTTGCTTTGCTTTTTAAGCTCAGCATTAAGTTTCTTTTATGTTTTTGCAGGTCGACCGATCTGGTGCATATGCTGCTCGGTGGATTGCCAAGTCTCTTGTAGCAGCAGGTTTGTGCCGTCGTGCTCTTGTCCAAGTCTCCTACGCTATTGGAATTGCTGAACCCTTGTCAATCACAGTGTTTTCTTATGGAACTAGCAAAAAGAGTGAAGATGAGCTCTTGAAGATTGTTAAAGATAACTTTGATCTTCGCCCTGGCATGATTGTAAAGTAAGCATTCATTTTTCTATTAATTACTTTAGTTACGATTCATTTAAGCCCATGAATGGTATCTTCATTTGAGTTTATATGCACTGGGAGGTTAAAAAATAATCAAGTTTAGTGGCTGAGGGAGTGAGATTTTAAGTTAATCAATTTTGTTGAAGCAAATGTGTACAAAAACAAACATTTCATGGCTGTAATACCTCGCACAACAATAATAATGATAACGATAATAATAATTAATATTATTGTTGTGTGAGGCATGTTTTGGTAGTGATAATCCCACCCCACTTCTTGCAGACAACTAGCTCTCTTCTAGACACTCAAGCCTCTGTTGGTCTTAATGTCTCCCTCTATAATACAAACACGTTGGAGACTGAGTGGCATAGGATGTGGATGACATTAAGGTTGGCCACTTAAATAGCGTTTCTGGATTTTTAATTCATTGGTATCTCTCATTTTTTTAGGGAACTGGACTTGAAAAAACCAGTCTACCAAGATACATGCGTTTATGGTCATTTCAAGCCTGGCTTCACATGGGAAGTCCCCAAGAAGCTTGTTTATTAAATAAGCTCTCCCATTGAAACACTTGTATTTCTGACCCTTGGAACGGTGAAGGAAGGTATAACCACCTGGAGTAGACAAGAATGATTCATACATAAAATGATTCCTTCGCAACAAACATTTGAAAGAAATACGGACTTGAAAAAATATAACTGAATTTTTGAATAATATAGTTTCAACACATTTATGAACTCTATTTTTTTTTCTCAATCTGTAAAGAGGATTGAATGTATTTGCAAGAGTCGTTCACACTGCTGTAAAAATGCAAGCTCATCTAGTAAGCAAAAGAATGGAAGGGATTTTAGAAGTAAAAAAGCAGGAGAACATCAATCTGTATTGCAGAATATTAAATTATATTGTTATTTATTTCTTAGGCCTCCTGAGCCTATGAATGTAGTTGAAGAAACGTTGCCGTGTTTTAAAGCGTTGCAATATTTCTTTCACATTCTTTTACTAAGGTGTTGGTCGTGTTATTTCCTTAGGCCTCCTGAGCCTATGAATGTAGTTGAAGAAACGTTGCTGTGTTTTAAAGCATTGCAATATTTCTTTCACATTCTTTTTTTAAGGTGTTGGTCATGTCATTTCCTTAGGCCTCCTGAGCCTATGAGTGTAGTTAAGAAACGTTGCTGTGTCTTAAAGCATTGCAATATTTCTTTCACACTCTTTAATCTAGGTAGTAATCATAGAATTTCCTTAGGCCTCCTGAGCCTATGAATGCAGGTAAAGAAACGTTGCTGTGTTTAAATGCATTGCAATATTTCTTTTGCATTCTCTTGTTTCTCTAGACTTTTGCTTTGGTTTTTGTTGTTTGTTTTACTTTTTGTTTTGTTTGGTCCTAAAAATCATCTGAATGTTTTTTAAAAAAATATTTTACCCAGTAATGAAGCTGCATTAAAGAACAGTCATGGAGTTGTTTGGAACTCGAGTCTTGTCTTGTTATTTTAGATATTGTAAGAACCCGCATGTAAGAGGTTATGTTTTTTAAAGTCTGGTAAAAAAAAAGATTGTATTTTGGGGTAATTATTGGCAAAGGCTCTGGATCAGGTTCCTAATTTCTACGAAGGAGATACAGATGTTGACTTCCAGAAAAATAAAGAATCTCAAACTTGGCCCTTAAATATACAGTATTTATTCACCACTAGCATTATGTAATATCAGGTGATAACCAGATTTGACACACAATGCATTACTCTCTTAATACAGCAATACTGGAACAGAACGCCATTAACCTTGTAGAACTGCTGAGAAAAAAACCAAAACTGCAGAGTGCCATGCAGTTATTGAGAGAACATACTGGAGAGGCCACTGAAACAAAATATTGTATTGGGATTCAGCATGTAAACACAGAGTTAACAAGGAATCGATAACTAAAGAAGTTTGAGATCAAAATCAGTCGGAACTTTGAAAGACTTTATTATTACTGAATATTTAGCCAGTCCAATTTTTTGTAAGATGATTATGTTTCTCTATAGTCATTTTCTTTCACTAACATATCTATATTCTTCTTGGGTAAATCCCTAGTGCTTATGTGCATATAAATTCTGTTAGGTGGATGTTCGCTTATTGTATGTATGCTGGAGGTTTTTTTGAAATAATTTCAAGATATTTAGAGAAGCGTTATTATTATTGATATTGTTCATTAAGTTGGAAAAAAAATTGCATAGGCAAAAAAAGGATTAATATTTGCATGCTTGCGTCAGTAGGCAAAATAATGGAGGGTTCTTTTTTGAAGAATTAAAATTTTATTGAGATACATCTCCTGAGAATGGCCCCAAGAAGCAAGAAGGGATGGATTAACAACTGTTATAAAATAACTGAGATAGTACGCGTGATCTGATTGGTCAAAAACCTATGGTTTATTATACCGGTAAACCCATAGAAAAGGGCATCCGGACCAAGAGCCATAAACAAAACCGGCTATTGATCTGCAAACATGTGAAAATTACAAACCTTTTGCGGGTAGTAGTATAAACAAATAATAGCATGATTTGTACGTGATATTTGGCATAAATATCACTCGTGGTATTTATGCCAAATATCACTACAAATCATGCTATTACCTATACTAATTTCTCTCTGATAGATTCCAGCAGTGGGTGGCAGTACGACTCCAAAGCATTTTTGTTTTCACTGGTGAACAAACCAGGATGGGCACCTGTTAAACTGCCTCAGACAGGGAAATATAGTTCAAACAGAATGTCAATACACTGTGACTCATCGTATGGCCCTATATTCGGGGGAGGATGTGACATTTTCATTTCCAAAAGCGGTTCTTACACCAACCTTGGCAGTACTTACAGCCCACCAAGTGGGTACAGCTACGACAGCACCTTCGCCCGAACATTCCTGGCAGGATCGTACAAGTTCACACCAGACGAAGTAGAAACTTTTTACGAAACAAACTAGAAATAATAATTAATAATGGGTCACATGCACTTTGATATTAGTATTCCATTAGTCTCAAACATTAAGTAAGTAGTCGCTAAAACGAATTTATGACATACTGCCCAGTATGTACTAAACTTGGAAAAAAGATGAAACACACCGTAAGGGACGTGTAGACACACAGTTTTCGAACATTTTATTTTCTATTTGAATCTTTATTTATTTTGTGTTCACTATTTTACCATGTGCTTAGGACAAAGGTCTCTTGAGCAAACAAACATGACGTCGCGTTGTTGGGTAGAGCTATAGTCGCATTGAGGACCACTTCAAATGAAGGATAACAAAAATGTCAGAGTGAGATGCGGCAGAAGTGCCGATTCAACCTCAAGTCATAGAATTAAAGGAGTTGAAGTTTAAGTGTCTACACATGTACATATTGTCACTTCCTTTTAACCTGTTTATACTACTGCATGAGAAATTTCTGCAATTTGATTGGCTTATAGCAGTGGTATTTCAGCTTAATTTGAAATAACTACATGTGAAAATTACAAACCTTTTGAGGGCAGTAGTACAAACAAATAATAGCATGATTTGTGCGTGATATTTGGCATAAATACCACTTGTGATATTTCAAAATTGTCTCAAAGTTCACTCGCCTAACGGCTCGTGAAATTACGTATAACAATTTCGAAATATCACTCGTGGTATTTATGCCAAATATCACGTACAAATCATGCTATTACCTGTACTAATCATTTTAAGTTTCAAATAATTTATCATTTTACCTTTCAAGTATTTATATTGGGGAATGTTTTCACTAAGGGAATCATATTTATTCAGTCTATGATAAGAGGTAAAATTGGGGGGAAATATTCCAAAAAAAATTTAAAAGTATAAAACACAAAAAACACGTAAACTTAGTATCGTAATGATAGGAATAATAATAATAACAATGATAATAATAGGTTTGGGTTGTGACAAACCAGGAGTCAAAAGGAGCCGCCTCTTACTGAACAGGGGTTGAATGAAAACAACTAATTTGTGAGGTTGAGGTTAGGCAAACAACTTGAACTTCTGTATGATCAATGTTTTCGATTTTTCTTGTTTTAGGAATAGGGTGTTCACATACTAAGTTCAATCAGAGTAGAGGACCGGAAGGAGAAGTAGGCGCTGGTTCCCAGATTAAGGAACTAAAACAAACACTATTGTTCCAAACGTTTTGTCAGAAATTAACACAAGTTGAGTTTCTCAATCTTGCTTCCGGTCCTCAACTCGCTAGTATGGATTCTATTCATTTCGGTGTTGGACATTTTGACTTTATTCAGGGGCAGCCTCCTCCTCAGGCGCTTCGTTTTTTGCATGGCAGAGGCGAGCGCGAAACGAGTGACTGGTGATGACCGACAAGGGACCATGGGAAGGGTACAAACGGCAGGCGAAGCGCCTGCCAGATCTTGTGTCGTTTTCTTGGCAAAAAAGTCGTTTTCTTGGCACGGCCCATTTTTGGTCTTTTTAAGTCTTGGAAGCGAGCAATTTTAGTAGCATATTGTTGTAAACATTGTAAACTTTGAGGAGACAGGTGAATGGCTCAAAATTTCAAAACCTGAGGTAGAAATAACCGACAGGCTGCAAAGGATCGAAAAGTCGGATTCTGCTGGATTCGTACGAATCGAAGACCTCTAACAAAATATTTGATGACTTGACGGTATCGGGTAAGTCTTATATTTTAGTTTTCACTTGTCGTTTATTGCAGAATTCGGATTAGTAAAGTACAGCGCCGGCGACTATGTTTCTATTTTTCGCTCTTTTAGGCCAAATTCACCAAACAACGAGCAAGTAGCTAGATTCTGCAAGGTCAGGAGTTGATTATCAAGACCACATTATGTCCTTACACCAAGATTTAAGTCTGCGACGTTACTGACTACGAAACCAGGGACAGATGGATATATTTCAGTTGATGCTTTGGACAAAATAAATTAAAATGCATAACTTGTTGAAGCTTAAAATTACCTTACGCTGTGGCTATATGGCCAGTAACCGGTTAAGGTTTTCAAAACACTAAATGGCCGGCAGTCCTATAATATCAGTAAATTTTACAAAATCGAAAGATTCTAGCTAATCTCAACTATCATATGCCGATTTAAGCAAGTCAAGCGATCCTGAAATGCTTTATAGATCTCAAGTCTAGTGTTTGGTTTGCACTGGGCTCAGAAGACGAAACCGTGTTTTGTGACACTTGAAACTTTTTTCAGCTCGACTGCCGGTCAAAGTTTTCAAAACACTAAATGGCTAGCAGTCATATATTCTCAGTAAATTTCGCAGTCCACTCAATGGCAAAGAACGAATACTGAAAACTCGATATTATTTCTATACATCAATGCTAAATTAAGATTACCTTGTACAAAAAAGCTTTTTTGTTTCATCATAACGTCGACAAGATAATGTTGGAGTGTATTTCAGCTCCAGAAGGGAACTAACGCGTAGAGACTTTTCCCGCCGGTTTTCCACAGAGGCCGAACGAAAGGTGAAGATGTTATGACGTCAAATGTCGCCTGTCATGCCACGCTTTGGGCAGAAAATGGTAACTAATGTCCAAAGACTCGAGACCAACAAAAACACGGTAAAAACATGACATAGAAATCCCACAAAACCAGCTGGTTTGATCAGGATCACGACTTATGGTAGTTCAGAATGGCTGAATTTTTTCGATTTGTGAAATTTACTGAGAATATGGGACTGCCGGCCATTTAGCGTTTTGAAAGGCTTGACCGGTTACCGGCCATATAGCCACAGCGATTACCTAACTCTCCGTATATATAAGATCCCTAGATTCTCAAGAGATAAGTAATGAACTTTATTTTCCAATCAGGGAAGGGGTTGAAGAGAAGGAAGGTGCCAGCATTGATCAATCCATCATTTTGGACTACCTCTCTCCATCTTGATGAGGGAAATGAAAATCTCAAGCTATAAAGGCAGACTTTTCTAGCTTAATTTTTTTTAGTATTTGAAATGCCAGGTTAGCTTTCGTGCGAAAACTTGATATCTTCACATGTGAAAATAACATGTTATCTTCAAATGTGAAAATATGACCTTTGCTATGGCTACATAATAAATCGCCCCTTTCACACCCAAAAACATTAAAGTGGAATGGTTTGGTATTTCATTGGTGTTTATATCATAAATAGAACATTACATGGCTGCTTGGAGATACGAAATTTTTCTTTTCGTGTTGAAAAAATATTTCACTCATTCGCTGCGCTCACTCATGAAATATTTTTCAACACTTGAAGGGAAATTTTGTATCTCCACGCAGCCATGTAATATCCTCTATATATTGTACAATATTTAATGCTAACATATATTTATCGATTTTCTCTTTTGTAGGAGATTTTGTTATTGCTAACATTAGTTTTAACTTTATTTCATTTTATTTAGGGGTGTAAAAAAATAAAATATTCATATTCCTTGCGATTTGATTTGATTTTGATTATTGCCTTTCGATTTCGATTATTTCGATTCGATTACATAAATGTTTCGTAATTCTTGTAACATAACGCGTAATGTAAACAGCATGCAACCCTA